CGGGCGGCCCCACCTCCCACGCGCCCCCGGGTCGCCCTCGTCGCACGCGCCCGCCAGTCAGCCCCGCTCCCCTCGGGATCCCGCACCTGGCGCACCTGCCTCCCCACCTAGCGGCGCACCTGCCTTGGATCCCACGCCCGACCCCTCTTCCACCAAATCCTCCTCGGATTGTGCGCCTGACTCCAACCTGCCGCTCGCCAGCCCCACCAAATCTACCTCTGAATCCGATCCAGCCTATACCATGCCTCCACGTCAGCCCAAGCATGCAATACCGATTGCACCACCGCAAAACTCCCACAACATGCGCACTAGAGCCAAATCAGGATTTTGCCAACCAAAGCGCCTCTTTCTAGCCACCACCTCTACTTCCGCCATATCCCCCATACCACCCACCTATCGTTCTGCCCTCAAAGATAAAAATTGGTTGCAAGCAATGCGTGATGAATTTAATGCTTTGATGATGAATTCGACTTGGTCTTTGGTTCCAAAGCCTGCAGGTGTCAACGTGGTGACTGGCAAATGGATTTTGCGTCACAAGTTCAATCCTGACGGATCCTTGGCATGCTACAAAGCGAGGTGGGTTGTCCGGGGGTTCACCCAAAAGGAAGGTGTGGATTATGGGGAAACCTTCAGCCCTGTGGTCAAGCCCGCCACCATCCGCATTGTGTTGAGCATTGCAACGTCAAGTGCATGGCCCATTCATCAACTTGACGTCAAAAATGCCTTCCTTCATGGCGATCTCAAGGAAACGGTCTATTGTGCTCAACCATCCGGCTTCATCGACTCGTCGCGCCCGGATCATGTGTGTCTCCTTCGCAAGTCTCTCTATGGCTTAAAGCAGGCTCTCCGTACGTGGTTTCATCGCTTCCAGGCATTTCTCTTGACACTGGGCTTTCGTGCTTCCAAGACCGGCTCCTCTCTTTTCATACTCACCCACGGCACGTCTCTTGCATATCTCTTAGTCTATGTGGATGACATCATTCTCACCGCCAGTACGCCACACACTCTCCACCACGTCATCAACTCTCTCAAACGGGAGTTTTCCATGACTGACATGGGTGAGCTTCATCACTTTCTCGGGATTAATGTCAACCCGAATGCATCCGGTCTCTTCCTTAGCCATCAGCAATACACCCTAGAGATACTTGACCGCGCCAACATGCTCCATTGCAAGCCTGTTTCCACCCCCGTTGACACCACCGCCAAGCTCTCATCGAGCTCCGGCGAGCCACTATCCAACCCCACCACTTACCGTAGCATAGCCGGCGGATTACATTATCTTACTCTCACTAGACCGGATATTTCCTATGCCGTCCAACGATATGTCTCTTCATGCATGAGCCTCGTGCGTCACACATGCAACTCGTCAAACGAGTCCTTTGCTACTTGCGTGGCACATCCCACTTTGGTCTTCAGTTATACAAAGCCTCCTCGCTGGATCTTGTTGCCTACACGGATGCTGACTGGGCCGGCTGTCCCGACACACGGCGTTCCACTTCCAGGTTCTGTGTTTACCTTGGGCAGAACATGGTTTCCTGGTCTTCCAAGCGGCAGCCCACAGTGTCTCGTTCTAGCGCCGAAGCTGAATATCGCGGGGTCGCTAACTGCGTTGCCGAATCCTGCTGGATCCATCAACTTCTCTATGAGCTTCGGCGTCCTCCCTCCCGTGCCACCATTGTCTATTGCGACAATGTCAGTGCATCATATCTCTCAACCAATCCAGTACAACATCAGCGCACCAAACATGTTGAGATCGACCTTCACTTTGTTCGGGATCGCGTTGCTCTTGGTGAAGCCCGGGTTCTTCACGTTCCATCGAGCTCGCAGTTTGCGGATATCTTCACCAAGGGACTACCCTCACCGATCTACACGGAGTTTACGTCCAGCTTGAACATCCTACCAAACGGAGTACCAGCTGAGGGGGGGGGGTGTGTTAGAATGTACATATTCTGTTGTATTTAGTCTGGCACGTCCAGTCCTATTATTGTGGATCTCAACTATCGCCCCGGCCTGCGTGCCTACTTCCTTGGGCTCTCTATATGTAATCACGGTTGTACTGTAATCTATCATTAAGGGCAATCATTCTATTGTCTAACTCTGCTAGTGCCAGCTGATTGTAACCGTGTAATATGGATAAAACACACGGTTTCTGCAACGCACGAAAACTGGTGTCTGTCATGAAAATGTCCGTGCGAATGATTTGACATCTTAAGCAATTGGAAAATACTGGCGGTCGGATGGAAAGACACAACGAATGGCGGATATGCTGGTGGTCTAATGGCATTCATGGCACCCAATGATTATGCTTACCAATTGATATTAGCGTTTATCTAGTCCAACTCTAATGAAGGAAGAGGTTCAGTACGATTGAACTGAAATACTCCAGAAAATAGATTTATCCAAAGCTACATAGCATTCATCTTTATTCCTCGATGCATGCATCGAATCGTGCACAACCTGAGTACAAGACACCACCGACCATGCACGCAACACATCCTAGCGAGCTAGCTATCTCGCCGGTATTTATTCCTGGAGGCAGCTGAGAGCGGCGCAGTCGCTGCTGCACGAGTCCCGGCACTGCATACAATCCGCGCAAGTTATCTTTGGCCCCGACGGTGGTGGCGGCTCTGGAGTTGCTGAAACCCGCACCTGCGGTGGTGGCGGGAGCGCCGGTCCCAGCGATGTACAACGCCCCGAGGAAGGCAGGACCAGCATGGAGAGAACGACAGCCAAAACGGCCGCCTTGAGAACAAGAGCGGCTGCACGTGAAGCCATTGTTGGGGACACAGCAGGGCCGGGCAAGCTTGCTAGCTAGGAGGAAGACCTGTGTGGGGTCAGCAAGAGAAGGATGCAGGGTACAATGTGTGATGACTCGCTCATACACATCGATGCTATTTGTAGGCGCCCAAGGAGATACTCGAGATCGATACATCATGGATGGATTATCTATGTAATTGCAGTACAAGTTGCAACTTGCAAGTCGAGATCTGCGCCATGCATGTTACCAGTTGACTTCGTGTATTACTCATCTTGACCGGGAAATTTTTGTTGAATCTTGAACAGTGGAGGAGAGAGTTAGGGGCAATGACTGACAGAATAAACGAGCCATCAGACCAGTCCTTCAAACTTTTTTCTGTCTCGCGTAAAATATAGGCACCATATAGAGGATATGTTCTTTGATATGTTCTGTCTTATATATGTTCCCCTGCGTAAATGTAAATGTCTTTTTCTGAACTATTTTCCACTTATGTGATACTGGAATCACACAAGGCCAAAGCCAAGCAACAATGTCTTCCATTAAAAATCCGTAAATAAATAGTACTCCCACTGTAAACTAATATAAGAGCATTTAGATTACTAAAATAGTGATCTAAACGCTCTTATATTAGTTCACGGAGGGAGTACTATTTACTTCCACACACTACTCCAATTTCCGAGCTTCCGTGGTGCCTGGAAACTTGGCGAAAGCCTATTCCGACTCGGCAACCAGATCTCGGCTAAGGGTACTTGGCCCGAAATCTTCAGGCAAAGACCACTTTGCCGAGCGGCGTCCATCAGGGACTTGGCAAACCCATGGAAATCACCAAATCACAAATAATTTGCATCTCCTTGCACTTGCACATGTAAGTTCCTGAGGCAATCCAATATATCCTCTACCCAATGGCATTAGTATCCCTGAAAGAAAGAAAAAGGTTGTCCCAGGATTCTATAAATATATGTAGTAGTGAAGATGGTGACACCTCGGAAACAATGTACTTAGTTCAAGTTAGCATGATGGATATTCATGTAGAACTGAGAAGGGATGATTATTTCACTACTTCATAGTTCATACTCCGCACAATTTTTTTAATTCATTTCACTACTTCACACAGAAGTCAATTTTTGCTAATCTAGATTTCATGTACTACAGATCATAGAGTTTGAATTATTGAAATGGTTTCTCATATAGCGGATTACCAAAGAAATTGCAAGCTCTTGCTCTCTTATTAGTATCTTAAATCTCTCCCAAGTTTTTTTTTTTGCGGGGAAATCTCTGCCATGTTACAGAGGACGTGGTGTTACAACTGACAAATACTACGCCATGTTGTGTTAAAAGACCTTAAACTCAAGATGATGCTGTCAAGTGTCAACTTGAAGCATCACTAGTCAAATACTAATCCAACGGCATAGTTCTGATAGGTGTTCTACCTAAAAAAAAGGTACACTTCTATTTACAAGCAAATGCATACATAATCAATGTAACTTGCTTCAAAATTTAGGGTATTAACCGTACCATAACGGTGGTCATTAGATCTTGAGCTTGAGCACCCACTAGTAGAAAACGAACCTTTAGTCCCGATTTCATAGGGCGTTTAGTTCCGTTTCTGCAGTCGGGACAAAACGATCGGGACTAATGTCCATTACTTTTAGTCCCGGTTGGCTTATGAACCGGGACTAAAGGAGCTCCACGTGGCCGCTGTCTGGAGCGCGGTTGGAGGACCTTTAGTCCCGGTTGGTGTATTTTTTCAATGTTTATTTTGAATTTTCTCACCCCTCATCACTAATCCAGCCTAAGCATGCTTAATCTCTAATCACTACTCAAGTGTGGAGCACTCATTCCAAATCGTCTAACTTCCCGGCCGGTCACCCATCCTCTCACTACTCTAGCCTAAGCATGCTTAACTTTCGAGTTCTATTCTCCCTAGTTTCCAGGTCTGCACTTTCCAAGTATGCACTTATTGTTTTCCTGACAATAGTAAGCTGCCAATCCTATTAACCCTTAGGTGTTGATGTCACATGATTTAATTTTTTGAATTCCAAACAATTATTAAAATAAAATAAGTATTACATCGAGATTTTCAGACCGTTGAACGACCACCACCGCTATCAGAACGAGCTGCTGGCATGCCACTGTCGCTGCTCCCCTACCGGAGTCCTTGTCGATAATAGCCTAGAAGACTTTGTGAATGTGCCCCTAAGGACCAGCGCCCTGGAGCCACAGTCGTCGCCATTCGACCCTTGAATAGATCTGACGTACCTGACACCAAATCTTGCCACACGACGAGAAGTTCTAACCTCACTGTTCCAAGGAGACGATAATAATATTTAAAGTCTACTCATGAATACAAATAATAGCCGATACAATATCTAGTTAGGTCAGGAAAACAACACTATTTATCTCAGTTCTGAGAAGTGTTCTCCTTGTCCGTACTTATTTAAATACATTATAACTAAGCACTTTTGGAGGCATCTCAGGCTATCAGATTCTCAACCCTCCGTTCTCGCGATCAAATGGTTCAAGGTCGTCGGATCCCTCCAGCGCGTCGTGGAGCGTGATTAGCGATTCGGAAAGGGCCGCTACTCCCGTAGCATTTTTGGAGGCCCATGGTTCATCCGGGTTCGTGTACCCGTTTGGCCCCATCGAGCATGCCCTTCTCCCCCAGTCCCGACTCGCTCGACTCAACCCTAGCCGCCAGTGTGCCGTGGGGGTCGGGCCGCCCGCCGACGAGACGAAGCACCTGGCCACGCTGCCCCTTCCCAGACGCCCCGGTCGAGACGCCCCGTGCGAGCGCCATTGCGACGAGCACCTGCTCCATCTCCCTCCGTTGCTCCGTTCGAGCGCCGCCGCGATCTCGACATGCTCCAGCGAGGCCGCCCCGACCGAGCTCCTTCGCCACCAGGAAGACCTTCACCTCCGTCTTCCTCTGCCGCCACCAGCTCTTTCTTCTATTCGCCGCCCCGGTCGCCATCGCCAGCAGGACGTGCTCCAGCGACGCGGCCCCGACCTAGCTCATCCACCTGCACGTCCTCCACCCGGGAGGTCTACTTCTTTATGCTGAGAGAGCTAGAGGTAGTACAAGAAAGCTACACACTGATTTGCAAGAGGACTTCAAATTTCAGGTTCCATCCTTTTACGATATTCTTCGTATGTTGTAGTTCTATTGCAAGTGATTGATCGAAGAACTCTTTTTTTCTTGACACTATGGAAAGCCATTAAGTTTCTAAAATTCTTAGTTGGACATAATGAATCTTAGACGACCCAAGTTCTTTTGTGTGATTCCCGATGAGATCGTTGTCTACTGCATAATAATAGAAAAGAAGTTGCAAATCTGATGAAATGGACACTGCATGTTCTGTAACTAGACTATGCCGGTATCATACGCTTTTACTTTCAGACAAGAGAAGCTGCTTACTGTGTTTCATTGTTCTTCTGATGTCCCTTTGAAGAAATACAACATAAATTTCTTTTGCCAGGTTTACTTGACATCATTATAGTGTGCTCTTGTTGAACTGGTCTCATGATGTCTATGATGACGTGCAGGAGGGGGATGACCCACACGGCCATGAACATGTTCTGCCCGTCGGCAAAGCAACTCCAGGTTCTTGCCATCCGTCACCGAGCCCTCCCTTCGTGCCTACGGCTGACAGTTCATTGAGGAGGCCAGCATCCTTTTCGAAGTGTATCCCCCCTCCTCTTGCTTTAACATTTATCAAGGTGAGAAGCATCCCCATGTCTCAGTTTTCTTCTTATTTCAGGTTTTGACAACGGAAGATTATTCACTTTTTACTGTTACTTTCACCAGCAAACCAATGATCACTATATGATATTGATATATCCTCAAAGTTTATCTTAATTTTGAGCAATACACTTTTTGTTTATATGCAGAATCTATGGAGTGTGCTTTTGCATGTATTGACCTTGCTTATGAATTTTTTGTACAACTCATTCCATGTAAAGCTAATGCTTTCGTTACATAAATATCCGATTTAAGAATTATATGCTCGCTTTTTCCTAAAAACATTTTTCCTAATGTATCGTGACAGTGCATGTATGATTGATGGGGAATGGTTATGTATCATGACCTATCTTCCATAATATATTTTATATGAATGTGAGTCATGTTCTTTTTATATTGACATAAATGCTTAGTTATTCATTTTCCAGTATTTTATTTCGTGTCTTGATTCTGCAAAGCTAACATATCATCGCAATGGAGTATGTACCTCTAGAATTTTTGTTTGGATCTGTTTAGATTTGTATACATAGTCTTTCCAGTTCATGTTGAGCCATAGTAGTATAAAGTATTAACATCGAATTTTCCGGGTTATGTAATTTTAGAACCTAAGATGGAGTACAACCAGTGGCTGCATTTAATTTTCCATTTCATTATTATTTTCTACCTATCCTTATTTCTTTTATGAAGTACTCATGTGCTAAGTTGTAAGCTGACTTTTGTGTTAACCGTTTATTTCTTTTTGTCCTTCAAATCTTTTTATTGTGACTAGAGGTACCTCCTAACTCGGGTGGCTGAATCTCCTTGTATACTATAACTTCAAGTATAGCTATGGTACCTTCATAGTTATAGTCTTACAAAATAGATATTGACCATTTTCACTTATTTCAATTATATATGTGTGTACATTCTAGCCACTATTGTTGCTTTTGTGATGGCACTAAGTGTCTGTCAAAATTGGAAATTACCAAATGTATGTGTACCCTGTACCTTAATGGTGGCTATTGCAACATGTTTGCGCTAATTATATTTTGCTATTGGATTTGGCAATGGTTTTGTTTATGTCACCTCCAGAGATATCTTGATGCATCATTGGTCTTCATTTTCACACTTGTTTACATTGATGCAAATTAACTTCTGATTTTTGTGTCTCCAAAAAATAATAAAAAACACATACCATTTTATAGACAAAATAGAAGGGCGCAGCAACGCGCGCCATAATGATCTAGTAATTGTGAAGACAAGCGACGAACTCTGATCTGGGGAAGCCACCGCCAATGG